CCTCCATTGCGCTCACAGCGTGATTCTTGCGGTGAATAAAAGAGCGAACATCTTTGTACCAATTATGGCGATCCGTTAGGTTTCGAGAGAACGAGTCGAGGTGTACAAAAGTTGGAAGGCTACATGAAATGACGAATAGAGTTAATTATGATGTGCAAAAAAGAAACCAATGAAGTTGGAATTAATTTGAAAATGTTGTATCTTTTTTTAATCGATACTGAAAATGATTGATTATAAAATGTATTAGAATTTTAGTTTCTCTCGGGTTCACCAGATCTCCTGGATTCTATAAATTTTTATTTCGGCAAATGCATTTTCTTGTATTCTTTTATTTTATAGATTTTTAAAACCCCTTGTTTCATCAATCATAAGCGATACAAATCACCATAGATGTAGTAACAATTGGAAATACAATCTGCGTGTACTCGATTTGTCTCATTTAAAACCGCTCCGATTGTTGCAAATTTCAAAAGCGGGCACAACAAGATACGTTTATACTTTGATGACTGAAACGCGCGATTCGATAGCATAATCTCCGCGATGCAACGGCTAGGTGTGTTTCGCATGTTTGAAATAATCGTAACCACACCCGCAGCTATTCGCACGTCGCATTTACTCGCGATAGGAGCGCGAATGCATCGCACATGTCGTCGCATGATTCAACCTTCATCACATACGCACGCGATAAACGTGTTCAGAATGCAGATCGCGCTAGGAAAAATGGAATCTTAAGCGGAACATAAATAAGTACGTGCTGTAAATTACGTAGATTACGTAGTGGAATTTATTAATTGGCTCGTGCAGTAGGTCGGAATTCGATCGTCTTTCATGCAAATTTGTGATTCTGAATTTGTGACCGCGGTATATATCTGTCGCAACTATAATTATTCAAGTCTCCGTACGTAATTTGTCGGATTATTCCAAATTTTTTCTCTGTACGGAGCGAAATATATAAACGTACTTTGTTTCGCGATGTAGCTGGAACTTCGATGAGACTGCATCAGAAAAGTAACATTGTAAAATTTGCGGAATTTAGTTATGACACGTCATAGTAGAGAACAACAGGTCGTTTAGCCGCTGGCAGTTATTAAAACACGCGTATTACGACGATATTGACGCACGCTTGCTATCTCGTTGGACAATATTCACGAGAAAAAGCATAAAAATGATACAATGTTTGTAACGCGTTAGTTTAACTTCCTATTGTACGACTAAAGGATTGTCTTTCATGGGAAACTGATCCTTACAAGCTTTTATATGTATTTATATGGTATTTAACAAGACAATTTTACAGCCTGCCTGAAGAGACTTCTCAATGCACATCCATTAGTTTATTGTTATAGTCTACAATTTTTACTTTTTTAGGAAAGTCTTAAGAGTCACTTTACTTACACGAGATTAAAGTTGAGAATAATATGACGCAAATTATATTCATATAATTGAAGAACAAGCAATTTTCTGATGTATATTATTTAATAGTCTTTTGCTTTTTTTCCTTTTATGATTAATATTACCGTAAATATCCGAAATTAATAACGGTATGAAGAACCAATTTGTTGTTATATTGTTATAATTATTTTATTAGAACTTTATTATCTCTTCTATAATATGTATTATATCAATGAATAAATTAATAAAATATTGACATTTTGCTAATGTAATTTATCGGAATAATTATTTTATTATTTTGAACATCAATAATTAATTTTGTGCATTAATATTGCCATTAATATATGCAATGAATACTGTTATATTATATATCTAAATTCTTCTAGAATTCAGCTAGAAATGCTATTTGACGCTTTCTATATAACAATTCAAGAATGTTTTTAAACACGAGCAGAATTTATAATTAATATAAGCAGTGCTAATTGTCTATTTTCGGATCAGCTTATCAAAAATTACCGTCACGTTCTAATAAATTTTTCTTCATCCATTTCACGTCATGCATCATAATAATGTTTTGAGGATCTACAGAAATATAACGGTTTAAGGGTCTCTCAGTTGTTTTTCAAAGTTTTATCGATGTCCAACTTCTATCTTTTGCATTATAATCGCACTTTTTTACATATTTTATATAATATTTCTTATACATGTGTGTTACATAGTTAATAAAACATATTTTTATGTATCCCTGAATCTATACAAAAATTTCTTAAACAATTTAAATAATATTTTAGAAGATATTTTGAAAAAAAAGTTTCTTTTTTACATAAATTAATTTAACTTGTCTCGAGCTACAATAAAAAAAATAATCTTTATATTGACCATCGTTTATATCTATTTTTTATGTGGTTTTTATTCACGCTGCAAGCTCTTTCTGAAATAGACTCGCACACGAATCGATATAACATAAAACTCAAACGAGTAACGAATGATGATCTCTGTCGATCAATGCCTGCCCTTGATGCTCGATGGTGTGCTACCGTTTGTATCTAGCAGAGCCAGCTGGTGAACCTGGCATATTAGTCTCCATAAAGGGACATCGATCGTCGTTCGAATGACTTTGTATACGAAGCATGTACGTGGAAGATCAAGCAAGAAGTGTGTTCTCCAAGTGATAGTTGATGAAACTCTGGAAAAAATTCTTCCAGACTTATATTTATTATTGTCAGAGAGATTCTTTATAATGAATTAACGATTTAATATCAAGAACACAGTAACATAAAGAATACGAAACATTAAGATATACTTATTTGAAAAGAATAATTTCGCATCTTGCGGAAACAAAAAAAGGTTTATAACGAGGCAATCAATTTTTATATTCTTAATCTTGATGCATTACAAATTAATTTAAAATAGGAAATATAAAGACATAACTATTCAAAAATATATTATATATGTATTCGCAAAATATCTCACGAATGTAAGTTAAATGTTACACCACATTGTATTATCCAGTGATAAATTTAATAGCTATTAGTTTCTGGTAATTTTTTTATGATAACTATGAAGAGGTAGCCGTTACTTTTAAGTTTATAACGACTACTGATTTTTCATCACATATTAGGAAAATGTCGTGGCGTGATTTTACCCTAATAGCTTGACACTAATCTTTAAGCTATTCCGTAAAACGTGTAGATAAAATCCGATGGCTCCGTTTATTCGCAAACAGACGCCGCCGTGTCGGGATGGTACGCATCTTTGACGCACTTGGAACGCGTACACTAACAAGAAAAAGTGACCTAATAAACCAACGGAGATGTCTGGACTAACGTAGAGCAACCGTTAGGTGTAACGACTATTATTTTCCAGCAGTTTTGCGATATGATCATGTCCTCACCGGGACACTTTTTTCCGGCTTTTACCTCTAGCGAATCTTAAAGCTCATTCACGAATTAGCAACCTGCATAACAAGGGCTAATAGGCTTGATAGTATATGTGGAATTGTTAAAAATAAATATTCCAAAGAGAAAATATAAGCGTATATAACATCTTGTTATATGAATTTAATTTTTTATTTTTTCTTTGTTTTTCTTTGTAATTTGTGTATACTTCGTTAATATTCTAGTAAAAAAACGCATATTATTTTGAGACATTTATAAAAATACCCGATTTTTAAATCGTCATTTCGATATTATTTCTTAATATTAAATCTTGAATATATTTTTTTTGAACGTAAGTTTTTTTCAAAAGTAACTGAAAAATGTTTTATTATCTCGTGAAAAACTTATTCCTCACCAAAATTTTCTAACTAAATATAAATAAATCATAATATATAATTACCTATTTATCTCTTAATAAATTTATTATTAATTTTTTTTATGAGAAGTCGATTTAAAAAAAATCATTTTGAAGATTTGAAGAAACATCATTAACGACTAATGATATAGATAAACATTTCATATAATGAGCCACAAAAGATACGTAAGTTGCAACAAAACGTTCTGGGAAACGATTTCGCTGTACACTCGGCAGTTTCGATGCACCTTCGTGAAGCATTTTCCAGCGATAAAAACCGTTTTACCACAAAATTGCTACAGAAGACGTTTCTTCCGTGTAACCGCGATATTCTTACGTTGTGATTCCGCATTTGCTTAGATACCACCCACGTTTCTTCCTGATTTATATAACAATTTGTCGCACTATCTATCTACTGCAATGAATAACGCACGATTTTATTTTGCTTCGAAAAGAAGACTCCTTTATGCAATATTAATTGTAAAATATTTTTGCGATAATTACAAAAGAGATCTAATAAGAAATACTTAAATAAATACATTTATGAGACACAGCGACAGCGACGAACAATAGTTCGACAGAAGATGGAATATACGTAATTTAAAGATCACAAGGGAAATATAAATGAAAGACGAGTCGTCTTTCAAAAATGCCAGATTATAAATATTAGGCTATTTTCGTGATTAAATTTATACTCTCCTTTTATAGACGATTTTCAAACCCGTTTAATTGCACGGATTATGACCTAGAAAATGGCTCTACCCAAAGCTATTTTAATGGCCGAAGGGCATCTCTTCCTTTTACATAATCTCGTGCAACCGAAAGGAATTACACGAAAATTAATGTACTTTTGAAATAATTTATATCGACGAAAACACAATATTTCCTTAAAATTGAATATCGAGAAAACATTATCGCTTAGTTATAATAAAATATTCCTACATTGCTACTAATAAAATATATTTTATCTATCGTAATACTATAATCAATACTAAGCGCATCGATGCAGCTTCTACGGCCACAAAAGGATGCTGCGGTGCATCCTTCTTTTCCCGAGATAGAATTCCACAGGCGATGTTAGCTCGTAATAAACATACACGCGTATCGGCGAGCTTTTCTCGGCGCGTACGTGGATTCTGTGCTCGAAAAATGCCGTCTCTCTTCTCGACGCGGAAAATGCGTCTCTCCTCGCGCGTTGCGTCTCCGCACCTTCTCGGCCATTTCCGGCGTCTGTCGGCGTCGCTCGTGAACGCGCCGAGACGGACCCACTCAGTCGAACGCTGACCACCGTGTACGTGAGACCGTTCGTGAGAGAACTCCGTGCCAGCCACGCAGCCACGAGTCCCGGCTGTCACGGGTCCAGCTGTTAGATCAGGCGTCAAGTTGGCGCCGACCTGTCATCGGGAAGACGCATCTCGTGAAAGCGTCCCGTGATATTTTATCGAGACGACGAGAGCTGATCGTCATCGTTCAATGTCACCGATCGATTGAGCTATCGTAAGATCCATCAACTCTCATCCGAAGGAACTCGAGAATCGCTGGAATAACCGCGTGTCATCAGAAGCGGGGGCGGAATCAATTAATGTCTCGCGCGCTGCGTAAATAGGCCGATCTGCGCATCGACGACGGTACCCATAAATTCGCACGTAGCGAGCAAATATTGCACAGCTGACAGCCGGTCGGAAGGCGGGAAGGTTAGAACAGCTGCACCTGTTATCTGTCACGAACTGTCATCTAAAATTGGAGCCGAGCGTCTTTCATTGAGGAAGACGGACGTCTTTTAAATTTTCGGAATTTCTTCTGTGGAACGTCCTCGCGGAGAGCGATCTTACGAGGGTTTGCCGCCTCTTAAACAAATTCAACGAGCGAGCCTGTTGGGTCAATTTGTGCCACTTCACGCGGCGTCGCGGGGAGATCGGCTCGCTTGGTGTTCCCTCTCTCTTTCTTTCCTCCGTCGACGAGACGTCGAAAGTTGACTGACCGACGTGACTCACGAGATCACAAGTCATTCTCGAGTTGTGGAGATTGTCGCGTCGTGTGATCGTAGGTGCGCTCCTCGCGGCACCACCGAGAAAACGTCATCGATATCTCATTATTAACACATCACCGATCGCATCATATGATACACATAGTCGGAATTAAATTACAGAAAAACCTCAACCTTGACATCTGTCATCCTTAACGCGAGTTAATCGAATCAAGATTAATCGAAGTCGGGAAAGGGAATCAAAGTGAGCTTTCCCAGGGAGTACTGCACATTTTAATTGAACGTCGATTACATCGATTAATCTTAAAAGAGGGAGCTTCCACGATGAAGCTGTTGTGTTAAAAATCCCTCCTGTTGCAATAAATATTACGAGTTATAATCGATCGAAATCGCTTAATCCTTCCTCGAGAAGACATCGGGGGCGGTCTTGGTGCGCGCTAGCCTTATATTTTCGACAGTCAGGATTAAGTGCCCGAGGACGGGGGCTGTTAAGAGAGACGGTCACGTGCCACCTGTTACGAACCGATCCGCAGTGCGGAAGAATCGCGAGTCCCCGTCGCGGATCAGCGTGTCGGGCGTCAGGCGGTCGCAGGAGAATGCGAGTCCGGGCGACGACGCGTTCCTGGCTGATCCTGGCGGTAGAATGTTGACGGCCCGATCGGGGCCTCTCGGGCTCGGCGTACCGCGAACCCTGGGGCCCGCAGAAGGAAGCGATCATCTCTTCCTGCTGCCAGAACGTGCGCTCATCATGGACAGTACCCACCTGCGACAGGACCTGGCCGGTCTCGACTTTAACCTGCACCTGAATCTGCTGCACACCGCGCCCCGCGGAAACGTCTGGCTATGTGAGTTGTTAATTTATGGACAAGAGTTGTATAACTCTTAAAATTCGAATTTGATTTACTTTGTTTCAATTTAGTCTCTGATTTCTTTTGATTCGTTTATTTTGACGAAAAAAGAGCGGGATGCGTATCTTATTTTGAAATAATTGAGGGAATCTCGAAAAATAAAATTCTATATTTTTAATATAGTTTAATTGAACTTGAATATTAAAGAAAAAGATAATATATTTTTTGGACTGAATAATCTTTGTTATTTAAAGTTTACCGAGGATTATTATATATTAGAGAGAGTAGGATTCTCTTGGTATATCTAGGGTATTAATATCAAAGTCCTCGAAATCGCGGATAATCTAGATATTCGAAATTGCAAATAGTACAATACAAATTCAGTTTCCATTTACAATCGTCCATAAAATAAAGTAGCACATTTAATATTTACATAAAAACTTTCAGCATTCATTAATTTATCTAAGGCGAATAAAATGCTTTAACTTTGCTTTTTACGATAATCCTTACAATATAACGCGTTACATTATTTTGTTCAAATCCCCGATATCCGACTTCCTAACTATATATTTCAAGGTAAATCCAGGTACAAAGTATCTTATATCCAAATATTGATAGCTACAATCCATATCTGTGCCATAAAATCTTTCTCTAAAAATGTTGGCAAGAGGAGATTGAACATAAAACAGGGTGCGATTAGTGTACTAAAATATTATCCGAGATGCGTCCTGCGCAAAACCACACCTTTGTATTATTTTCTCGATGGGCTCTACTCGGTACGGAAACAAATCGTTTAACGAGATTTTATGTCAGCAATAAAATACCGCGTGAGGATTTTTCGCACCGTATTTCTCAGTACTTTATTATCTGCCGAAGATGTGTATCCCTCTGATCTGGAACGTCAAAACGAGACGCGATAGTAAAGCGATCTGCTTCTCTTTCGCAGTCTCTCCCACGAGTCATATTGAGGATTTCGCGAAAAGCAGAATATATATAGATACTAAATCACTGATTGTGTCGCATACAAGTTTGATAGATATCTCGCGGGACGAAACTGCGAACGGTGAAACATTTATAAAAATTGCAACAGTTACTCAAACATCTTTTCGCGAAAAAAAAAATAGGACAACGTAAGAGCATTCCATTAGTACTGAAAAAAAGAAAGAACCTTAGCTTCGAAACTCTAGAGAAAAATAAGAAAATATACAGAGAGAGCTCTAACCAACGCGCCGCGAAATTATCGCCGTGATATCGCCAATTAAATGCTTTTTTGCGCCAATAAAAATGTAGAAGTCGTTCTTTATAAAAGAATGCCACGCGATTATAATGTTCCGTCATCGCGTTTCTATTCATGATTGTGCCGGCCGTTAATTTGGCAAATAGAAATTTAATTAACACGGATTGGTGCGTCTTCGTTATAAACATTCCGCGAAATCGTGAAACGATTCTTTTTCGCAGAGGCATTTATTAGATGCGAATATCTCCACTAATCCTTTATGGAGTCCGACAATTATTTCAACATGTCATTTTCTTCGCAACTAGCGATAATTAAAACGGGCAAGAGATATAATTGACGTATGCATTGAAACAAATATCGAGTGAGAATGCTCTTTTCTAGAGCTCGCGCGAATTTTTGAAAATATTCGCAGAGTTATTTTAAATCTTAACGCTAAAATATATTCTGATCAACCAGAATGTTTTCCGTGAAAAGAATATTTTTGACATTGTATTAAAAAGAATTTTCTAAACGAGGGGAATTATTTTCTCTAAATTGTTATCTCACATATTTATCAAGTAGCATAAGGGAATTGTCCTTAACTTGTGACAATGAGTGTCAAATGGACTTTTCGAGTTGTGTAAATGGAATAGTGATAAATAGAAAATCGAAAAAAAAATTCATGGAGAAGTAACAGTGGCAATGGAGCAGTTCTCCTAAAAATTGATCTTTTCTTGATTTTTGCGATAAAGTATTAAAGATATAAAGAAATCCTTACCGTGAGTATCGAGACGTTCTCTTAGCTTTTTGTGAAAGTATAGTAAATCCTCGTTTTTATTATGAGCGTACTAAATTATGCGAGTGTTATACAAATAAATTTCTGACGATAGCGTTCTTAATCTTTTTATCTTTAGAATGGAGATGAAAGTACAAATGTAATAAGAAATGAAAAAGTTGATGTTCTATTGGAAAGTCTTCAGAGAACGCTTAATTTTTTACAAATTGCGTACAAATACGTTGTCTTAGTTCTTTTCATATAAAATTAAATTAATCAAATTTTTTATTTCATATGACACCATTGCCTTTACATAATAAGTATTATTAATTATTATACAATAAATAAATAAAGATATATTACTGCGTGGAAATTTCATTAAGAAATTATGCCTGCACTCATATTGAATATATATGTGTGTACATACTTGTTCCATATTATATTAACGGTTTATTCCTTGTTTAATACTTTTAATCATGTCAAGCGTGAAATGACGCGTGACGCGTGTAATGCTCGGAAATTTGTGCAAAATATTAGCTTGACGATCGCGTGGAAGTCGCCGTATTCTCGATCGGACATTAATAGAAGGCGTATTAAGCTAGGGGAAGCATTATAGCATCCTTTCCCGCGCCGCGCGGAAAGTCCGTAAAAAGATCATTACGATTTATATTTATCAGCGGGCGGTATACCGTGTTATTATGGTTTTTGCGATGGCGGTTAATTCGCGGTGTTATGTTGCCCGTATTTGCGGAACTCGTAATTGGACAGGGCAGAAGAAGGTTCTTGAGACATACACGGTGTGGCACGTTTCTCTTCCTCTCTCTCTCTCTCTTTCTTTCCGTTTCTTTTATTTGCTCCTTTTTAATTACAGTCAGCTGTCCCCACGCGTCCGATAACATCGCAAAGATTTATGAAATCATCCGGGATGCGTCCTCTTCAAGCGCACCGCGGTGCGCTTCAATTGCTCTCGGATAGTAGACCATATCGGATTTGATACATCAGAGTGCTACTACATATTTGTGCATCTTTTAGTTCTTACCTCGTTAAAATATATGAACCGTGCGAGAGCCGCGGCGTCGACTGACAGTTGGAATGAGATCAAAGATATCTGGGAAAGCTGAATACCTAAAGATAAATAAAAAACGGAAAACTTTCTTTTTTAATGAGTACATCTTTCGGAAATTTAAAAAACACAAGGATTTTTATTCGCTTTTCAAAAACCTAAAATAAGATTCCAATAATCAATTAAAAATTTTTTAGAGAAAAATCTATTAAGTCTTTTTAATATTAAAAATTAATATCCTAAAATTATAACAACATATTAAAAAGAAATTTATAATTTATTATAATAAATAACAATACTTTATATATTTATTACAAAACATTCTCGACAATTTACATTTATGACTCTTGCGCGAGTCTAAAGGACGAATAATGTTAGCGAATACTCCCAGGTGTAATATAATAATTTCGCACATATATCTGGCGGAGAAAATATGTATTATTATAGTTGCGTTGAGAAATACATTCGCTCCAACAAAAGCTTGTACTTTCGAACAGCAATTTACTAAACAGAATCGCGTCGTGGCGAATAATTCAGTTGGAAAATGCAGGCTCTATTTCAAGTCGAAATCAGCATAAGGCTCTTACGAAACTGCGAATTACTTTATTGCAACTTTTTACCGACGTCGTTTCTTAGCGGTTATTTTTCTGCAGATATGCAATATAATCTAATTAAGGTGCTAATGGAATTAATTAGTTCCATGTAGAGATGATTAATGAAGCGTCCTAAAAACATCACTGCTGATATAATGAATACGTCTTAGAAATGATCTTACAACGCTAATATAATTATCTATAGCATGAGGTACAATCGCGATACTGATGCGTTATGGATATTGCAATTCTGCTAAATCGATACTACTTTAATACGTATTCCTTTCGTAAGTTCCTTTAAGTGTTATAACAGGAATAACGAAAATGACAGCTATTTACCTTCGTGCTTCGATCAAGGCTAATCGAAGAAATTGCTTTTCGAGTTGTATGCGTGATCACATTATGATGATTTGCAACACTCTACCTGTTACGACATTCGCTTACACGAAACGCGATGACTATCCATAGAAAATTAAGGTTGCAATATAGAAACGTAAGGTATCGTTTAACAGGAATAAAATATGTTTAAGTTCAAATACCTTACACAGAGAAAAATATCATTCTACTGCCATGAAAAGCGATTATTCAGTTTATTTTTCTTTTTTTAAGTAATAGTTTTCTTCAACAAAGAATATATTCTTGATAATAGTCTTAAAATATTCATCATAAGAGTTAGAAAATCTCATTATCATGACTCATTACTCAAAAGAAAAATTTATTTTCTCTTCAAGAATATTGTAAAGTTGTATCAAAGAAAAATCAAACTTACTTTATGCCAACTCGATGTAGTAAGCAAACCAAATTTTTGTTTTAATTTAATATTCTTGACTAAAATACCGCACTTATTAGAATGCAGAATATATTCAATTAAATTTAATGCTTGTGGTGAATATATTTGCGGATATGCAAACTTCTGATTTACTTAAAATAAATAATATTTACTTGAATGCAATATACATTTTTCTCTGTGTATATATATGATTATTATACAATGAACACACATATTACTGGCAAGCAAATATATTTTTTCCGAGAGAAATCAATTTCTTTCATGCAAAATAAAGGATTGTTGAATAATTCAACGCGAGAGTTAATTTACGAAAAACTGTTTGCAGCTTTGCGCAATTTAATTTTATATGCAAGAAGAATTAGATTACTCGTTTTTTAGCGTTTGTATCAATTAAGTTTAGATTAAATATATATTGTATATTTAACACGAGATTAATATATATTTTTCGTACCATCATTAATCGCACTAATGTAATCGCTCTATTTTTCGAGGTAGATTCCGCGATATGTACATTCAAGTAATTTAATGAAACCTTGTCTTGCTATATTATTACACATGAG